CTTCGCCTCCAGCCCAGATGTGGGCAGCCACGTGGGCTCCTTTCCGTGGCACAGGCTAGCGGAAAGCTGATCGCCCTCGGGTGATGCTTGTGTCCTGGTGCAAACAGGCTCTGTGGATGGGGGCACAAGCCAGCGCAGGGAGGAGACAACTCAGACGGTGAAGAGGGGTCCAGTCCCTGACCCTGGGAGTCCCATGTGCTTGCCCTTTCTCCCCAGCACCCTACCCAGCAGGGGCTTTCCCAGCTCCCACATATTTTTGAGTGGTTCCCAGAGATGTTAATTAGACGTCTCAAATTTAAGATTTAACACGCTGAGAAATTTCAAGAGGGAGTCTTCCTTATCTCTGGCACGCACCGGGCGCAGGAGGAACCGAAGTTGGATGGCACCCACTGGTCCAAAAATTGGCTTCCTTCCCTGTCTAACTCCTTTCACACTAGCGAGGGTTCAGAAGTTCACGAGTACTCCAGTTTTTATGCTTTTACTACAAGTAGCAGGAGAGGCTTCGGAGGGAGCCTGGGCAACGCCTTAGTAGGCACACGCAACTCCTAGACAGCGATCCATAAACCACGTTGTGTTGCAGAAGGCACCAGACATTGCTAATATGCTCAAAACAACTGCTTGTATATCAAGCCAGAGATTGATCATCTTTGTCAACTGGGCAAGTGCTTTATCTAGGTAGGTGGAGGGAGAAATAGCAATGACAGGACTGTTTGAAACAGAACGGGAGGAAAGATGTGCAGGCAAGGAGCGTTCAGTCTTGGAGTCACCCCTGTAATGCACGGAGGGGGAAGGAGAGTGCTTCTGGCTCCCTCCCTCTGCTGATCCACATAGGACAGGAGGCTGCTGCAGCCCGGAGAAGACCAGCTCCAGCTGTACCAGCTCCTGCCTTCTGCTCTGGCACTCTCTGGTCCAGTCCCCAGTGGTTTGGCCAACAGGGCAGCATTCCCGTCAGCACCACGTTGTCCAAACCACCTTCCTCTTACACCCCAAAGCTGCAGAGCGGATATTCCCCTGATCCAGCCTCATCCCACATAGGTGCGCCAGGAGAGCAGGGCAGTCCTGGGAATTGGACTTGGGTGCCGTATAAAAGGGAACATGCACCAAAAAGCAGCCCTAGGACAGGGTGGGAGCCTGCCGTTCGTGCAGAAGCACGTTCACAGAGGTTACACGCTCCCTGTTACCAAGTGTTTTGCTGGGGGTAGCAACAGCAATAGTTGCAGGGTCACTAACCAAGGAGGAGTCTTTCTCCTGAAGTGCTCTGTCACGCTGGCTAGCCCAATAGTCCTCTTGGAAGAGTAAGCTTTCGCAGAAGTCGAGCTGGCTGAAAGAGAAACCGTAGTAGCTCCACTGTTTTCACTGGGAATATACTGCAGCAGATGGGTTCCCTCAGTCACTGTACACAATAATCGTTTGGCCTAATTGTATTTCTGGGGTAATTTTTTATCACAGGAACTTTTTACCTACAGGACACTTCATTTGGACCTAAGTGCACGGGGAGAGGATTAGCTCCCCTTGCAAATCCCCTGGCAATTATTATACATCGCTCTGATGGCAGGCCCCCCGCCCACTACAACGGGGTGCCACGGGGTTAGATCCCGCACAAGAGGCTGCCAGAAGCAGACTCTGCCCTGGGGAGGCTGCACAGAGTCCTCCTCTCCTTTTTGCAGAGCTGCAAAGAGATGAAGTGCTCGGCCCACAGTTACACAGGGAGTCCATATGAACAGGACTCCAGAATCGCAGACCCCAGCCCATTTCCTTCTCCACCCGTCTTCCCTCTTCTCTGAACTGACATCAAAACTGGCAATTTGCCCCCTTCTGCCATGAAGCCTGGTGGTTAGCTCACGGGGCTGGGCCTTGAGGAAGCAGAGTTCCCTAGTGATCAGCGCTGCAGGTCCCACACGAGTCAGCACCGCGCAGGCAGGCATGGTGCCCCTGGAAGCCAGGTTAGCCTCGCAACACAATGGCAATAACGCCCCGCTCCTTGGAGGATGCCGGGGGATCTCCAGGGGACAACTGGTGTTTAGGGACATGTTCTACTGTCTAGCATCGGTTTTCAATGCAGCCACTCACCTGCCGAAGTCCAGGGCTACGTTGAAGCCCAGGCAGTGGTGCCAAGCTGACCCGCTGCATTCCCCTGTGCTTTCAGGCTACTTCTTTGTTGCCCCTTCAGTACAAGAACATATGCCCTGGCCTGGGCAACAGAAGAGCAGGGTTTTATGTCCAGCTTTGCCACCAATGCCACTGTGCATCCGTGGGCAAGTCATCTAGTCTCTCCGTGCCTCTTCGGGCGAGACACTGCATCTCCTCCTACATTCGTGCAGTGGTCAGCAGTCCCAGATGAGGTCTCCAGGCACTTGTGTGATACAAAGGATAAGCCACGAAGCCTCCCACCTAACCAGCTTGTGCTGGCACTGGATAACCATCCAGCTATTAGAGGCAGGCCCCTCTCTGACTCTTCACATCAAGTTTCACAGGAGACACGTCCTTTCAAGACCCTTGTTTAGGCAACAAGGATTCTCTCCATAGTAACTACATTCTGATACCACAGACACTGAGACGAGGTCAGAGCTGCGGAGGAACACATCTCATGGCAGAGGGCTGGAAAAATGTTGATGCTAAATAGTTTCATAGTTTCATAGATTTAGGGTCGGAAGGGACCTAAGTAGATCTTCTAGCCCGACCCCCCGCCAGGGCGGGAGAACAACAAAACCCCAAAACAAGAAACGGGACTCAAATGAGTCCAGCCAGGTAGGCATCCAGCCTCTTCTTAAAGACCCCCAGGGTAGGGGCCAGCACCACTTCCCTTGGAAGTTGGTTCCAGCTCCTAGCCGCCCTAACTGTGAAGTAGTTTTTGCGGATGTCCAATCTATACCTCCTCTCCATCAACTTGTGCCCATTACTCCTTGTTATGCCAGCGGGCGCTAGGGGAAAGAGCGCCTCCCCCAAACCCTTCTGGTCCCCCCTAGTGAGTTTATAGATGGTCACCAGGTCCCCCCTCAGCCTTCTCTTTTCAAATAAAATTTTTAAAAAGGCTAAGAAAAGAGCAAAGAATGAAACACCCTCACATGAAGTGGGGCTGGGAGGTTGCACAGCATTATGCTATTAAAAATTATTCAAGGGAGACCAGGGTTTTCCCTACACAGAGTAATGGCTCTAAGTGAGGAAATTAGGGCTATTAATCTTCTCAAGGTGCTAACAACTCCAGCAGGTCAGGATGGCCCCATTCCCAGTAGGGCTTAATAAAATGTTAAGGGCTTATAATAATAATAAAAATAATAAAATAGTATATTGGAGGAATATTGCACCTTGCATACCAAAGTGCTTTGCAACCTGCTATAAATTCTGTACCCATAGGCTTGGACAGGCAGGGAGAGGAATGCATCTGCTCGGGACTGCCCAGGGAGTGGAGAGTGCTGGAACATGGTCAGTGTCTCCGGGAAGTGGCCCCTTTGGCCGCCCAGAGCAACCGCTGTCTGCTGCTCATCTCAAAGCTGCGTCTGCAGCCCTTCGTCCTGCTCTGAGCTCAGCCCTGAAGCATCGGGGTCAGTTCTAACTCTGGGAAGAACCCCACCTCATGAGTCATCGGCATGGTTTCCTGGAGCACGGAGCACCATGCCGGCTGCTCAGTTCAGCCTGGCGGTGAGCAACAGTGGTACTAGCAACCTGTGCTTGGCCAGGGGCTGGTTGCCCCTTTTCCCAGCTAGCCCCAGTGTCAGGAAGGACGGTGCAGACTGCCTGCCTTAGCATCAGAACAGGCTATTTGGTGAAACAGGGGCTGTCTGCACCAGAGCAGGCATGTCCCCCCAGGTCCCCTGCCTCGAGCTGTCACTGAAACAAACTCCCTCCCACCTTGGACCCGACAGGGACCTGCAGAGACCAGAGCCCCGTCCCCCTGCTCTCTGCAGCCCAACACGTCAGCCAAACACCAGTCACTATTTCACTGCTGAGCCAAACACCAGGGCCTCCAGTTTCACCCCAACCCCACAGCTCAGGGTGGTCAGCGACCAGGGAGTACAGCACCTTGAGGTCGCAGGCACAGGCTAAAAGGCAGTAAGACGCCGCTACACTAAGCCTTCTGCCCATTTTCATTTCTAATCCATTAGCCACCCACGGCTGCAGCTGGAGTGGAGCCAACACAGTACTGGGCAACTCCACCCCAGAACCCGAGTCCCTCTTAGGAGCAGCCCTGGAGATGAACACACCTGCAAAATACACACTGTTTCCCAGGGGACCTGGAGGAGTCAGCCAGAGCTGCCCAGACCCCACAGGGATGGGCAACCTTTTGCAAAGCTGGGCAGTGCTTTCAGGCACACATCAGCCAGCCCTTTCCAGCAGCTCAGCAGCCTGGCCCCAGCCCCTCCCTGACACTGTATCCCCCCCACACGTGGCCAGGCGCTGTGCCACGGGCACCTGGCAGCAACCCAGCTCCATGCACTGGAAAGCAGGATGTGACCTTTCAATAATCCCGTGCCAATCCACCCACCCTGCTCACAATGGCAAACGTCCCCTGTTCACAGCTTGCTCCTGACCCCACTTTAATTCAATTTAAAAGCCTCCAAGGGCACTGCCAGTTTCACCACGGAGGGATTACATGCTTAGCATTTCTTCCAAGTGATACTGAGGTTACTTGTTTAAATAATAATGGGGGAGGGGAAGCTCAATATCATGGGCACCCGCCGGAATTCACAGACTATCGAGTGCAGAGAGCACACCTGAAGCAAGGGATTGGCTGCCTTTTTTTTTTTTTACCATGATTTTCTCAAGCTCCGAGTCCTTGGATGCAGCCTGGATGGTGATGCTGAGGGCCAGGCGGCCTGTGGTCATCTGCCCAAGACAGCCTCCCTTCAGCCACCAAAGTGGCTGCTGGTGGAGAGCCAGGAGGTGCCTTTCATGCCCTGGGGCCTAGGCCAGACCTCATTTGGAGGAACTCGCTCCAAAGCCCACTGGGGCCTGGGAAATCCCCTGTTGTTGTACAGATGTTTCAAGGAGTTAGGACTTACTCTGCTTTGCTGGGTCCTGCTTCTATGCACTGCCGCCGAGAGGGGCTGTTGTGGCAAGCTGGCAACCTGTGGGGGAAAGCCATGTTACAACGCAGTTACCCTACCCGCAGCCCCAGTGACACCCAGTCCTGCCTAGGTCAGTGCCCAGAGCTCAGACTGCCTCTCTGGCTGGGACAGGATGGGACCCGTGCACACACATCTGAGAACAGAGAGCCGAGATCCGCCTCCCCCATTGCAGAACAGAGAAACACTGCTCTGTGGCCAGGAGAGCCACCGCACATGACCCTCGTGCATCAGCAGCTCCTCCTGCCACAGCCTGACGTTCCCAAGAGGCGGCTGCAGCCCAGGGTATGAAGGGGAGAACAGGCAGCACAGAGACTGTGGCAGGGAAAGGATGGAAGAGCCCTGAGGGACGTGCACTCTGGCAGCTCAGGAAGAGTGTGAGCGGGGATTTCCCACCCGTATCAGACTGCAGCAGATGGCCTACATTACACTTGTTCCCCTCACCAACTTAAAACCTCACCCTGGCATGGTGAAGGCGCTGCCCGTGGCAGAAAGGAGAGCTTAGCAGTACGGCGGTTGCATTTCCCCTGTGACTCTCTGGGTACCAAGGTACTGAGACAGCATTGTACAAGAATTGGATTCCCATGCAATGCGGAGACGGGGCCTGGAGACAGTGTGATGCAGCCAATGTTCAGCCCACTCCACGCAGCGCCCACGTCTCCCTCCTGTCCTCTCTGCAGGGCTGCACGTGCAAACACAAGTGCAGAGAGGAACCCAGGGAAACCTCCTCCTCAGGCCCGTCAGCAGAGGGCAGGGGCATGCCAGGCCAGTGGGGAGCGGGTGCATCTCAGCCCCAGGGCCTGCCGCGGCTAGGGGGTTAAAAGCGAAACGCATGCTGCTCCCGAGTAAATAGATGCGTCGGCCCCAGAGCTGCCTGTTTATCTTAGAAGCAATTTAGGTTTCTCCTTGTTTATGGGAATGAAAGTCAGCAGATTCTGAGAACGGGAAAAACAACTGGGAGCCAACATGTGACAGCTCTCTCCTGTTGCCCTCGGAACGGGGCGGCCGAGAGCAAACCCACGCCAGCGACACGGCTGGATTCATTTATGCGATGGATTCACCCCTGGGCAAAAGGAGCAGCAGCATAGGGTCAGGCCCGTGTCACCACCTGGACAGGTGGGGTCCTGCCTCTGCACACAGGAGCCCATGTGCGCTTGCTGGCTCTGGGGTGGCCAGTGCTCAGACTGTCAGTAGGTCGCTCCTCCAAGGAAATGCGACCAACTGCATATGGAGAGACGTGCCTCCGCAACACGTATCCCTGGCAGCCGCGCAGCCCAGTTCTAGGAACATGCGGAGGGTCGTGACTCACGCCGGCAGCACGGCACGAAGCCCTGCCCCTTGAGTGGAGCCAGCGGCTCCTTGGCTGGCGGCAGCTGGATGCGGTCACTGCCCGTGCAGACCAGCCTCCCCCAAGGATGCGACACACACACATCTGTCTTGTGCCACCCACACCCCTGTGCTGGAGGCTCCTCGCCTCCCCACTGCACCCTCTTGCCACCTCCAGGCACATCACACAGCAGCTCACCTGGCCATCTCCATGCACTGCAACTCCCCTCCTGCCCTCTGTTTGGGGCTGACCATGAGCAGAGTCCCCAAGGCCATCTAACCACACTCCAGTGGGCAGCTCAAGTGCATCAAACATGAAGCCTCCCGTGGGAACCGGCCCGTGTCAGCAGCATTGCACGTTTAAAAAGACATGAAAAAAAAAAAAGAAGAGCCTTCTGAAAAGGCCCAGACATCCTGCTTTGACTTTTTGGAATGGGCTGCTTGGATTTTTCCAAAAACTCCCTGTGAAATAAAAAACATAATGGTGGAATGACACAGTCTGATCAAGACCAAAGAATAGTTTCGGGGGAGCTTCCCCCCTGAATTCTTTTGGGCAAGAAACGTTGGACTTTTTATTTAATTTTAGCTCCAGGTCAGAACAGAGCAACTCTCCCCAAGTTCTGGAATTCCCCAGAAAACAGCAGGTCCAGTTTCCGCCCAGCTCTCACTGGCAGCCCTTCAGGTCCAAGTAGGCCTCCCCCTATCCTCTCTCTAAGGGGACCAGCAGAATGACAAGGCCCCTCCACACCAGAATAGCCCTGGAGTCACTTACACCCAAGCAAGTGAGGCAGTTAGGAAAGAAAAGGAGACCACAAATGGAGGGCAGCAGGAAATCTGGCTCGTTAGCACCAAAGGGGATCCAACCACTGCATTCCTTGCCTGGACTGCCGCCGCAATCAGCAGAACCAGGCACAGCGGGGAAGGGAGGCAGATATATTGGCAAGGTGCACGGTCGAAAAAGGGAGAGGAACCCATGACCCTCCTGTGCTCCCCTTTGAAAAAGCTGGCTGCCAGCCAGGTATTCAGCAGTGGAGCTAATGAGAGCAGAAATAATTAGCTGGTGGTGTGAAAAGGAGAGCGACTGCGCGTTTATCTGGCTGGGAGGATTCTCCGAGATCAAAGCCTCCTGGGGCTAGGTTAGTCATTACCATTATCTGCATGCTTTCCCCTAGCAAAGCATCTCCTCAGTCAGCCCACAGAGTCACCACTCCCCAGCGAGCTGCCAGCGGCAGAGCTCCCCTCACCCATGCCAAGTGCACCAAGGCTCCCTGCCCCTTAGCTTGGTGCAAGCAGGAAGAGAGCGGGGGTGCAAAGTCCTGGGGCAGTGGCGAGCTGGGAACAGATGCTGTCATGTCCTGTCCCACCCATGGCAGGCACTGTGCATGGAGGGATCTGGGAGCAGCTTGGGAATTTGGGCAGCAGTGCTTCCCTTTGTATATCACTCTGCCTGAGCACCCATTTCCTCGAGAAGGCAGAACCTGTCGGTCCCTTGTGGCCTCGGGGAGCGGCTGTCCTCAGCCTACAGGCAGCATCTCCCCAGCCAAGCCCCACAAGTGCTGGCCAGCTTTAAGCCCTGCCTTATTGCCGAGCAAATGTGGAAAGGCAGAAAGGGGCAATGTCCCATCCCTGCTGTAGCCCATCCTGCTCCTGGGAACCCTCTGAACCCCGGGGTTGGACCAAATTGTCCTCTTTGTGCAGGCAGGAAGGCATTGTGCACCTGGTGTCACCCCCGTTCCCCTTGATGAGCTTTTTTAATGGCTTCCCCATCTCCCTGGTGCCGCAGCCGCCTGATGAAAGGTTGACGAGCAAGCTTGTAAAACATAATGCGCGTTGGCAGAGCTACGGGGAGCCGGGTCTATTATCCACCGCTCCGGCCCAACGTGACCTTGCGCGGCTGCCAGTGCTTAAACAAAATATTTTTTAAAAAGGGAAGAAAAGATCCCCATTGCTTTCTGTGCTCTTGAAGCCATCCTCAGCTGTGAGCTAGCTCTGGGCCGATAGGAATGAGAGCACAGCCAGGGACACAAGGGAACATCACCCCAGCTTTGGGCTTTCTTATTCCTGTTCAAGGGAGGGTCTTAATTCCAGTCTAGAGGTTGGAAATGTTTCGGTTGTGCCCAAAGCCTCCCTTATTTGTCTGGCCAGAAATGCAGGGCCGGGGTCTATGGCCAGGCCGGTTCCCCAGCACAAGGGATCAGCCACTCTCTGGCAGAGGGGAACCAGGGATATCGGCATGGCTTCTGGATGGACATGGCATCTTCCATGCTCCACTCCATGGTCTGCTTCAGCTTCAAGTCCACAAAGGAACCGGTGGGGGTCTGCGGGGAGAATTCAGCCTCCCAGGCACATGCCCTGGGTTTCTGGGCTGAGTTGCTTGCTCAGATCATACCAGCTGCACCGGAGAATTGCTGGCACTGCTTCCCCTCACTGCCCACCCCATCCACCAGCTGAGGAGCAGTGGGACCAGGAGAGGATGGGATACCTGGGGAACTGCCCTGCAGGGGGACATGGGGAGGCTGGGCATGGATGTGGGCACCCTGAACTGCAGCAGTAAAGCCCCAGCATTTGGGAAGGGATCTACCCCTCCTGCAGCCACTGACCTCTAGCTGCTAGCAGGAGCACTCCCTGCCACGAGATGCTCATGCTGGCTGGTCCCCCCACTGCTACGGCCATGGCTGTTCCTGAGCAGGCCCTGCTGGGCCCTGAAATCTGCTTCCAGGGGCTGCAAAAAACAAGAAAAAACGTCACTGATAGGAGGGTGAGAGATAGATACCCCCCCAGGTTGTGCAGAAGTCGGACAAAGCCTGGGGCTTCTGCCCGGTGCTGCGTGGCAAAGCAAAACGCCGAAGCCCATCCTGTCCTGTCCTGTCCACCTGCTACATCCTGCCCTAGCCCAGGAGCTCTCTGGGCCTGAGATGTCCTTGCTGCTGCCTGTCTGCAAAGCACCTGGCACTCAAAGGGGCCCCAGTTCAGGACAGGGCTTCAGACAGAACAACTACCAGCCCTTCTTGCAAATCCTGGCTGGGCAGCTCTGGCTTCTTGACCTGGCCTTCTGAGCTAGGAGTTGTCTGAGCTGTGCCAGCTGCCATCAGACAGGGCTGTGCAGCATGGCACAGCTGCCGGTTCCTGCAGTCAGTGCCCTCATACCTCATCCTGAAAGTTCACCCAGCTCCAGGGGCACAAATGCCACCTCTTATTGCTCCTCAGCCCTGGCTACAGCTCACTGTAGCTGTTCGGGGAGGAAGCCTGCCCCGTGTGAATGCAGGGACCTGGTGCACCCTAGGGTTGTGGGCTTAGATACCCAGCCAAGACCCCATCCCAGCACAGCCCTGCAGGGTCCCAGCCCTACAGCCTGCCAAATGCTCCCCTAGGTGCCTTGCTCACAGGCATGCTCTCCTTCCACAGGTACATTGGGGCTTTGGGCGCCAGAGTGATCTGTGACAACATCCCCGGACTGGTGAACAAGCAGCGGCAGTTCTGCCAAAAGTACCCCGACATCATGCAGTCAGTGGGCGAGGGCGCCAAGGAGTGGATCCGAGAGTGCCAGCACCAGTTTCGGCACCACCGCTGGAACTGCAGCACGCTGGACAGGGACCACACTGTCTTTGGCAGAGTCATGCTGAGAAGTAGGTCCCCGCAGGCTTTTTCTTCCCACCCACTTGCCCAGGGGGGAAAATCATACCCTGCCTCCAGGAGGGGATGATTTGGCGCTGAGGGTGACCTGCCTGCTAGACAGCTCCCGTAGCCCATCGAGGTAATGCCAGGTGCCATCCTGCACGAGGCAAACAGGTGCCTAAGAATCCAGCACCTAAAACCACAATGTCCTGTGCCCAGCGTTGCCCAGCAGTCATGCAACAGGGCATCAGGCCAGTTTTCCCAGGCTCCTCCCTGCACCCCAGCTCCTGCTTTTAAGGAAAGGCCAGGACACCCCCCGCCCACCCACGTTTTGCTGTACCCAGAGGCAAAAACACCCTTTGCTCCCCTGGTCCAGCCCCTTGAGGCACAACCGCTGCTCTGGGGCTGAGCAGGGGCTCCCGTTATCTCCTCTAGAGCTCGGTCTTTCTCTGTCAGTTTGTCAGGCAGTAATGGGAGCGCATCACTGCCCTGGCGAGAGGAGCCAGGGAAGGAGACACCTCTGGAGAACCAGCTTGCATGTAAACAGTAACAGGATACGTAAATATTTAGAGAGCGGGGCTGGCCAGGCACGTGGGACCAGACGACTCCCTGCAGAGTGGGGAAGCTGGGGCAGAGACGAGTGAAAGGCCAAGACAGCTGTGGCTGCAGACTCCATCCTGGAGAAGCACCCATGCCCCTGGGGTGAAGTTTGCCCTGTGCAAGAGATGGGGCAGGCCTGGCAGGGCCATGGGCAGCAGCATGCTGCAGGCTGTCCCTAGAAAGGTCTGACCTCTGGGACGGACACGGGTTGCACCCATGGAGCAGGGGGCTCTACCAGCGATGCTAGCTGGTGCACAGGCAGCTGGGAAGGCTGCCAGTCAGACCGGCCGGTCAAGGAACTGCTAGCCTGGATGAGGCAGCCTGTTCCCCTGATCTGCTGCGTCAGGGAGGAGACCAGCCTGGACATGGAGAGAGGACTCCAGCCCTGTGACATGCAGGACACTCTCTCCTTTTTTTTATTTTTTTTAAAAGAGAAATCAGATTGTAACTATGGGGTCTAATCCCCACCCAATTTTGAGCCACGGGGCACATTTAGGCTGCCCCTGAAGCCAGGAGGGCAAACGCTTACTTTTAAAAATAAAAAGCTAAGCCTGCACTTTGCATGCAATCCCCTGACTCCAGAAGCTTG